TATTAGAGAGAGAGAGAGAGAGAGAGAGAGAGAGAGAGAGAGAGAGAGAGAGATTACAAGGGAAAAACGGATTACGCAAAAATGTAATTAGCTGTTATAATTTGGTTTATAAAAATAAAAGCATCCATTTAGCCTTCAAAAAATGCATGCATTTTTATATGCTTATACTTGATTAAAACTCACAAAAAATGTTAAAGCTTTAAGCTAACCATTTTCTCAAATGAGTGAATTAAAAGTGAGTGAATAAGCGTTACATTTAAAAATAAATAAATAAAAATATAACGCCTATAACAAAGTAAAAATGAACGCAAACTTAATAAAGTAGCCTATTTCAAAAAGCAACTGTCCTCAGGCAGCAAACTTGATCAGAAGTGCTCTTGCGCCCTCTAGTGTCTGGTGAAGCGCGTCACACGCGCAGCCAAAAACACCTGAACTTCATCATCAATATTTCTGATCCGCGTGCAGTGTTTTTCCTCGCCGTTTACAGGTGTGCGTCGATGTGAGCAGCGCTTTTTATATTAAATCATTGTAGCTGTTCAGTCCTCGCTGCAGGTACTGATCTTGACTGTACCTTGATTATTTTACCAGAAATATTAAACGTCCCTTAGTAAACAAACATTTACGATTGGGGCCGAGCTGACTCGTTTAGGCGAAGAACAGGTGCAGGAAGATTCACAGATTCTCTTCTCACGCCGTTTGACCTGAACAGCGTTTGTGCAGGCTGAAATGACAAGCTGCTTTATGGAAAATGACTCTGTAGCTTCAATCAGTCTGTCTGAATTATCCAGCTCATCGTCTGTGTCTGACAGAGCAAGTGTTCACTGGGGTAAGAGCATTTCTGTCCTGTACAACGAGCCTTTTCAGTTGCCTAAATTGTTTTGCCTGCTTTTACTTGCTCTTTCTTTCCTGAAAGGTTGTGTACTCAGTGGTTCTGAGACCACGGCTGTCTTTAAAGCTGAAAATGACCTTCTGGAGAACCAGTTTTTCATCAAAACGGTAACCTAGATTTGAGCCTCAGACCCCAGCATGGAAACTCTCAACATTTACTCACCTTCATGTCGTTACAAACACTTGTGACTTTTTTTTTTCTTTCGTGGCGTTTGTTATTCCGTTTTCCCTCCAGTGAGCTGTTAATCGTTGTGACTGGATCATTGATTTAATGGTTTGATCTTGAGTAGGCTACCGTGAACAACTCGAGTTTTGTGAACAAAGCATCGCATCATTCCGATTCAATTGAGTCATTCATTGAGTCGATTCTTTTCATGAATCGAATGTAGCTCATCAGCATGCAAAGGCAGCCGTTTTTGTCGTATTTATTTAATTGGATTTTTAAAAATTATTTTTGTTTATTATTCTTTCATCGACGGGCAAAACTCTTGAAATAATTTGCCAAAGCAGGTTTAAAAAAAAAAGTGTCAGGGCCTGGAGCTACTTTATAAGCATTTATGAAACTTGTATGATGATGTGTGATATTCAGCTGTCTTTCCAGTTAGCTCTTAATAGTTGTGACTGGATCGTTGATTTAATGATTAGAACTCAAGTACTGGATTTGTGAACAATCATCGCATCATTCGATTAATTGAATCAATCTTCTCAGTCAATTCTTTTCATTCAAGATTCGAACATTGCTCATCAACATGCAAAGGCAGCCATGTTTGTCATTGATTTGCTGGGATTTGTTTTCTACATACATGCATTAATTCATTTAGCCTATTTATTCATGACTTAATTTGCATAAGTTATTAAAAACCATAATGCATCAGAGTCTTTAGTTCTTTATAGCAGTTTATGCAGCTTTATGTGTGTATATATATATAAAATGTTGTAGTCCACATTCACTTTCATTATAAAAGACTGTCCAGGATATTTGTGAAGTTCACCATTTGTGTTTATGGGTCATTTACATTTCGGCACATGTGAGTAAATTACTGTAATGTTTACATTTTTTGAATTATCTATTAAAAAGTGTATGAGTGAGCCTGATAACCTACACTCACATCCATAGTCTTCAACAGTTGCATTATTACACTAAAATGACAATTTATATTGTCATAGATATGTCTTAGTGAGGAGGCAGGAGACGAGATGCATATTGTGGCCGTCTGTGACGGTGTTGGAGCTTCCAAACCATTGCCCGTTGCCACCCTACGCCACTGTATGCCAATGGTGAATTATTATTGTGACTGATAGTTTGATTGATTGAAAGACTCCAGAAACTGTTAACTCTCTCTCTCTCTTTATATATATATATTATTATTTATATATATATACACTGAATGAGTGGATATTTATGTTGTTGCAGATCAGTTTTCCTGGTTTGGAGCTTATTCCTCCTGTCACCTTTAAACTGTGCTCGGGTAAAGGACCTGTGTTCATCTCTGCTCAGCATATAACATGTAAGAGCTTGCATTGGAATACTTATATTCTGTTTTATGTTTTTCGGGGTTGGGCAAAACCCACTATTTTAGCTCCTTGTTAATTCACAAGTGGGAAGCTGACGGTTGCTGACTGGAATTTTTTTATTGCAGTGACAGGAAGATTTTAGCGAACTGCAGTTCAAAAGTTTCAACATGGTTACACAGCCAAGCAGTTTCAATAGTCCAACACAAGCATTTTTTCCCCAATTGATTGCATACATACATTAATACTGTGAAAACAAACAAAGTTTTAGTTCTAAATGGTGCTCAACCATGCTATTTCAAAAAATTCTTTTTTTTGCAGTGAATCCCATTGAAATGACAGAGGGGGAGGATGAGGAGGATGAAGATGATTAAATGCCAGCGATGAGCTTATTTTGACCATCTGAACCATGATGGGTCCTGTGGGACAATGATTGTGCACCCTGTCAGTATTTGTTGCTAAAGCATCACTGGGTCAATTTTGAAAAACTGTATTAACTTTGTGTTTTAATGCTAATGAAAACAATAAAATATGACTAATAAAACCACTCTCACAGTGTAAATAATAGCTCATAATTTTATCTGATGTGTTTTTCCTTATCTGTAGAATGAGATGCTAATTGTACACAAAATGTAAAAAATGCATTTGACTTGAAGTGAGAAATAAAGTATATTCTGTTGGTAAAATATTTGTGAATCCCACTTTTGACAATGTTTAATTATAAAATTTAGTTTGATTTCTTAGTTTGATTTCTAGCATGGAGAGGGTATGGCAGAGTTGATGTGAACCGTTGCTAGGAAACAGTCACGCATCTAAGCAACAGACAGTAAACAAACCCTTGCACGCTGTCATTGTCATAGCGCTGCAGAATGACTCGTGTTTACAGTGAGAAAAGAAGGTAAAGCACCAGCACGAGATGTCTGCTCGCTCGGTGTTTGATGGCGCCGTGTTCATGCCATCCCAGATGAAGCTTCTAGAAGATTTCAAGCGAGACACGCACCCTGATAAAGTGAATCTCGCAGGGAGGGGTGAGTGATTTTACTGCCTCTGGCCCACACTGGAGAAAATACCCACTGCCTGTAATGATCGTCACATAAAAGAAACTTATGAAATCAAAATTTAATTTTAGCTCGTGTTAGACTCTTAAGGTCGTTTACATGCTAAATGTAAATAAAAATGTCAGAAATACAGGAAAATGGACCAAACAAATTGATGACGCACTCTGCATGAGTTGCTACTTTGTTGCACTTTTTTTTTCTCGGAAAAAATTGTCTATTCTCAAGGAATACTTCACCCTAAAAAAGTCAATTTACACTACAGGTTAAAAGTCTGGAATTTATAAGTTTTTTTTTTTTTTTTTTTTATTTAATCAAAAAGTTTAAGTAGTTATGCTCACGAAGGCTGAATTTGTAAAATATTATAATTTAAAATAACTTTATTTTATTTTATTATATTTTTATGTCAAAGCTGAATTTTCAGCATCATTACGCCAGTCTTTAGTATTACATGATCATTCAGAAATCATTTTAATGTGGTAATTTGGTATTAAAAAAAATTGACATATATATATATATCAATGTTGAAAAATTTGTGGGAACGGTCATACTTTTTTGTCAGGATTATTGAGGAACAAAATTCACAGCATTTAACTGAAATTGGAATCTTTTGTAACATTATACATGTCTTTACTGTCACTTTTCATTAATTTAACGTGTCCTTTAATCTGTTCTTTAAATGTTAATTTTTTAAATAATAATAATAATAAATCGTACCCCAAACTTACCTCAAAATATTAAGCAGTACAACAGTTTTCAACATTGATAAGAAATGTTTCTTTGAGCAGCAAATCGGCATATTAGAATGATTTCTGAAGGATCATGTGACACTAAAAAGTGGCGTAATGATGATGAAAATTCAGCTTTGAAATCACAGGAATAAATTACTTTTTAAATTATATTCAAATAGAAAATCATTATTATAAATTGTAATATGATTTCACAATATTACTGTTTTTACTGTATTTTTGATCAAATAAATGCAGCTTTGGTGAGCAGAAAAGACTAATTTGAACATTTAAAAAATCTTAATCATTCCAAACCTTTGACTGCCAAGAGCTTGTAACACTCCAAAGAGAAAGGAAAACTTGAAATCGCATCATATGACCCCTTTAAGTGTACATCTTTCTTCTATCCCCGTTCACACTGTCAGCGACAAAGCGACATGCTCCCATTCATTTTCAATGGACAGCTGGCGACTTCCGGCGACACAAACGACAGTGACCGTTGTCAAGTATGTGGGCGTGTCAAGCGATGCGAGTCAAGCGACAAAAGTTAAGAATTGTTTAACTTTATGCAAATGAACAGCGAATTTCGCGAGCGACAACCAATAGGAGTGAAGAATCTGTCAGTGGCGCTCACACGTCACCGTCTCGAGTGCAGGCAAGACAGGACAGATTTCCTGAGCGATTTCACTGTTTTATATGATTTTACTGTAACCACATACATGGATATAAAAAAAAACATGATGCGTAGAAAAGAAACTGTTGGCTGTTGAAGAGAGTTTGATTCATACATTGATGGTTCGAGTTGTTATTTATATGATGCAGTGAGCAGTTTAGCTCCGGTTAATGATTTAATGCACAGGCACTGCTGTAGTTTATGTAACAACATTCTCCAACAGCAGAATGGTACTTTTATTTCGTTTAAGTCTAATTCCTAGTCATATTAGAATGATATCTTTGTTTTAAAGGCAATATATATAGTTTGTGATAGACTTGCAGTCTACCAATAACATTAGAGCGACAGCAGTAGGAATGCCCACAAGCGTCTTCACAGCACAGAGTCTAACGACATACAGTGAAAAAGTCGCTGGCAGTGTGAACGGGGCTTAATGCACACACAACTCTGCCTGTTTACAATCAAATGTACATTTCTATCTTTCTATAGAGTATGTTGGAGAGCATGGACACACCACATGGCTTCCTCTTGTACGAAAAATCAAGCAGCAAATTTCCACAGACCCGACTCTAATCACAGAGTACCCACACATCCTTGGGATCCCAGAATTCACCAGAAGGGCAACTCAACTTGCATTGGGCAAAGATAGCCCTGCCATTGTGGAAAGCAGGGTAACATCTTTTTAATTATTTATCTTTCTATAAAAGTCTCGACTGTGATCAACAGTGACTCGCAAGCTGAATACACTGATAGTGTGCAGGAGGCTTGGTACATACCCACTGTGTAGTTTGTTTGTAGATGATGTAAAGCCGGTCGCCTTTAACGCTATCTGGAAATGTCAGTGCAAGCTGTAAACCGCATGTAGCTTTTGATTATTGAACTACAGAGATGATGTGACGCAAATGGATTAGTCACCCATGTCAAACAATAGAAATATTCATGCTGAATAGAAACTAACCTCCACTGATCACTTTACTATTAATAGACTGGTTAGTTAATATTCAGGTTAAGACAATTATAGGCCTGACACAATGCCCAGTTTTCAACCTTAAGCAACCTTAACCAATTTCCTTCAACCTTAAAGGGATAGTTCACCCAAAAATGAAAATGTGATGTTTATCTGCTTACCCCCAGGGCATCCAAGATGTAGGTGACTTTGTTTCTTCAGTAGAAAAAAATACGATGAT